GAGCGAGAGAGAGAGAGAGAGAGAGAGAAACCCCCGGTCTGAATTGCAGGGGGGAGGTGGCGGAACAGGCATTCACAGCATAGGTGCGAACAGCACAGCCTGGCGCTCCCAGATAAGTGAGCGGTTTCCGGGGCGGTGGGCGTGAGGTGTGGCGGGCTATGGTTGCGGCGGGGTCGGGCGTGGCGGGGCGGGGTAGTGGGGCGCGCTGCACTATAATGCACCTGTTGTGGCTCGGGAGGGGCACGCACTGCATGGCCGTCCACACCCCCGACCGTCTGCAAGCAGCCCGGCTCACTCACACACCACCCAGAAAAAATTGTCTCCTTTGAAACAAGGAGAAATGACGTGAATGAAGTCCAATTTTACCTTTAGAACAAATACAAGGATATTTTCCGCTTTTGCTGAGCATAAGGCAAATTAAGGCAGGAAAAATTGTCGTTAAATTAATGAAATTTCTATATGAAATCAATGCTATTGCCTTAAACCGAAGATAAACACTTCCTTGTGTTAAAAAAAAATTCTTGGTTACTGTTGATTACTATGGATACTAATTTCTGGGTGCACTCTGTCTTTTATAAGCACACGCCACTTGTCCTTTATACTGTAGTGTGTGTTTGTGTTTTTGTTTTTCAAGACAACACTTTTTTTTCCTGTGCATATAGCTGTGGGGGTGGGGGTGTGAGCGTGCGTGCACGGCGGCGTCGCGGCGGCGGCCCCGCGCCACAGCTGGCCCGGGTGTCATAGCTGGCGCGCAGGTGCTACAGCTGGCCTGGGTGTCATAGCTGGCGCGCAGGTGTCAGTTGGCCTGGGTATCATAGCTGGCGCGCAGGTGTCACAGCTGGCAGCTGGCCCGAATGCCACAGCTGGCGCGCAGGGGGGCCACAGCTGGCGCGCAGGGGGCCACAGGGTAGGTAGACACTCCACAGAGGCACATACCCCTTGCTTTACTCCCGGCCCCCAGGGTTCCGATGCCGACTGCACAGCCGTCAGGCCCCAGGACCCCCAGCCCCTTGCCCCCCCCCCCTTCCCCGCCGCGCCGGATGGCGTCTCCCCCGGGGGCCCGCAGCCCGGGGCGCCCCATCTAGGGTCCGACGCAGCACATCTCTAAATTGAACCGACCTGGCCGCCGCCGGGCCCGGCCGGGCCAGAGGGGGTCCGGCAGAGAAAAATAAAAATGAGATACGGCAATCATCTCGCGGACGAGGAGGAGTAGGGGAGCGGCGTCACCCTCACACACGCACACACGAGCGGAGAGAGCGGTAAATGTGATCACGAAGCTGCGGCAGCACTCGCTGATTTTTCGCGCTCGCCGTTTTTACCCCCTTTCGCCTCACGTCCCACTTTTTCCTCTATTTTTTTCTCCGCCTTCCACTTTGTCCCATCTCGGAAAGGTAGCGGAGGGGAAAAGGAAGGTTCGGGGGGAGGGGGGTGGCCGGAAGGTAACAGCAGCGGTAGTGTTGTAGGGGGGAGGGGGGGGGGAGGGGGCTGGCGACGGCCCCGCACAGCGTCCCCCCTGGGATCCTAAAGGGCGCCCGGGGACGGCCGCGCGGGCCTGGGGGACAGCGCCGCCGTGTCCATTGTGAGGGCCGTGGCGGGCGTCG